AATATTAAAAAAAAAATTCTAGAATAGGGGAAGTTAATGATCTGTAGTAGGACGCCCCCAGAGTAGAGCTGTGCATAAAGAATCTTTTAAATTTACCAAGCTGTCACCAGATTCTGAGAAGCAGAGTAGGCATAACAAGTATAGTTGTTATTGTTGTTGTTGTTATTATTTCCATTCATAAGTGAATTTGGAAAACTCAATATAAATTAATACTTATCTTTCCAAAGGGAAGAAGCAATCTTCATGTCCATTGACTTCAGACATGTTCTAATTAAATGAATCACCAGTCCTAGCCTTTAGTTTCCACAGATGTTGAGCTCTGCCATGAGAACACATGAAGTAAAGTTTAAAAGGCCATAGAAATGAAACCACGCACTGAAACCCCACAGGTGTCTTGGCAGGGGAAATATATACAAAATCTGTATCTGGAACTAATCAAAATTGACAAGAGAAAATTTTTTTTCTCCATTGCCAGTCACTATAACAATTGCTCTAGGACTGAATGAGGTAGAAGCAATTAGTATGTTTTTATTCCCTGCCAAAGTGTCTTCCTCTGATGGGTAGAGAAATAATCCAAAACTGTTTTTTATCCTCGTCCTTTTAAAACCCCAGGGAAGCTAACACACCAGAGTCCGGACCATATTCTAGTAGAGTTGTCTTACCCATATTTCTGCCATGGTTTAGGAAGTTGACCACATCTACCAAAATTTCTCCTTCAGTCCTTTTGAGGAATTGTCATCCATGGGGACTGCCCTCTAGTGGGTCAGTTTGCCAAATAACTGATTAGTCAGATTTATTGAGGGATCAGTGTGAAGCATACCTAACCAATCTGTATTCTATACACTTTTTGAGACAAGTTCTTCCCAAGTTGCCCAGGCTGACCTCAAGCTGAAACTCATGATTCTCCTGTCTCGGCCTCCCAAGTACCTGGGGGTACCACCATGCCTGGCTCAGGTTACCCTCTAATTACAGGCATGTCAACGGGGGCTTCTTCAATACCTATAACAAATAAAAGAGTTTTACCGTGTACATGAAACCAAGTGGCAGGTGAAGTCAGGCTATGAGAGTAATGGGACAGATCTCTTGAATTCATCAAAAGATTTGGGGTGAGAGGGGTGGCACACTGTAGAGTCGAGCACATTATCAGTGTAGCCTTAGCCCAGTAGTTTGGCTAAAAGTCCGAGGACAGACTGTGACCTCTTCAGGATAACATTCTTTACTTTTCTGAAGAGAAGGATACAACTCATTAGTGTTCCAGTACCCCGGAGACTGTTAAAGGCATGAACAAGAAGTGAAAAGAGGCCTCTCCTTCACTCAAAGTCAGCTCAATTTGTATCATGTTTAAAAGATTAACTACCTAATGGCACGTCTGCTTCCAGCCAAGATGTAGTATCAGGAACTGGATTATCATGCCACCTGCAACAACCTCCCCTCACAAAAAATTACCATATATAATACTTGAAACAATAATTTCCCGGTTTGCTATCTCAAGACAGTTTCTAGATCATGGAGGCAGGCAGATTCTGTAAGTCAAGGAGTTGAGAGTCGAGAATGACCAAAGCAACTAGAGCTAATAAAAGTGCAGAGTACAAAAGAAAGAAAGAAAATCCCAGAGGTCTGCCGACATATCCTTTGAGCACTTATAGTATTGATCAGTGTGTGCATGTGAGCAGATTACCTATAGTGAAAGAAAAATAATTTGAGAAGATGAGAGGGAAGAATGCCTATTCCCATTAGCTACATTGGAAAAACTTATGATTTACATGGCATTGATTTGATTCAGACCTTGCCTCATTGATAGAGATTAATTACCCTTTACTAAGCACTTCTTTGGAATCACTTAAATCATAAAAGCGAAACCTGAACAAATAAAGCTATTTCCTAATAACAGCATCCCAGATGATAGCTCAGAATTTACAGGAGTATTAAAATATTAAGCAGCCAATATAAACATAAAAATATTGAGGCAAGGTAAAATGCACAATGTCTGGTGTATAACCAGACATTGTCAGACAAGCAAAGAGGAAGGAAGATGTGATCCATAATGAGAATAGACAGATAGATAGATAGATAGATAAATGGTGTTGTATCCAACTACAACTAAAAAATAAATATTTTTTAAAAACATATAACTATATTCCACATGTACAATAGAAGTTAGTTATATGGATGATAGTTTAAAAGATCTAAATGAAATATATAGAAATGAAGATGAAAATATCTGAGTTTTTTTAAATACACTGCATGGAATTAATAATTAATAACTAATTTAAAAAATTTTTTTGCAATTAGACATTACAGAAAAAAGATTGGTGAATTTGAAAACCTAGCAATAGAAACTATCCAAAAGGAAATAAAGAGAATGAAACAGGAAAGAGAAATTATCAGTGGCCTAATACATGGGTTATTATAATTCCTGAAAGTGGAGAGAAAAGGGAGAGACAGGAAAATATTCAAAGAAATAATGGCCAACTTTTTCTAAATTTATTGAAAACTAACCCACATATCCAAAAAACTCAATAAACCCCAGGCACAAGAAACCTGAAGAAAATTACACCAAGGTATATGATTATCAGTAGCTCAAAACCAGTGATAAAAGAAAAATCCTGGGGCTGGAGTTGTGGCTCAGTGATAGAACGCTTAACTGGCATGGCACTGTATAAAAATAAATAAAATAAAGGTACTGTGTTCATCTACAACTAAAAAATATTTGAAAAAAGAAAAATCTGAAAGCAGCGGTGACTGGGGGGTAAATAGATAAGGATGACATCAGATCTATCATTAAAAACAAACAATACAAGTGAGCCAGGCATGGTGGTTCACAAATCCCAGTGCCTCTGGAGACTGGGCCAGGAAGATCACGCGTTTGAGGCCAGCCTTAGCAAGGTCCTAAGCAACTTAGTGAGACCATGTCTTGAATTTTTTAAAAAATTAAATTCTAATTTACATAAGAAGGGCTGACTGAATATGTGGCTCAGTGGTTCAGCGCCTCTGGGTTCAATCCCCTGTCTTCCCTACACTTCCCCCCACCAAAAATAGGTAAATAAGTGAAAAGACAGTGGAACAACAGCTTCAAAATGTATATTACTATAGGATTCTGTGGCAAAAATGTCTTTCAGAAGATGAAAGCTAAAATAAAGATGTTTGCAGACATACACAATCTGGATGAATTCATCACCAGCCAGAGTTTGCACTATAAGAAATATTAACGGAAGTCCTTCCAGCAAAATTAAAGTGGTGTTGGTTGGAAATCAGTTATCTACACAAAGGAACATAGATCACTAGAAACAAGCACATTAATAAATATGACTTTTTCTTATTTAAACGAAAATTGATTATATAAACAAAAACAATTTAAGGTTCATAATATGTAAAAGTAATAAAAAATGCTTTGCAAAATAGTAGAAAGTTTGCATGGGGAAAATGTGAACTATTGTAAGGTTTGTTATACATGAAGTCGTATAACTCTAAGACCATGTTAAAGGTGGATGCCATAAACCTCTCATTAGCCCCTAAAATAAGAAGCAGAGACACAGAACTAATATAATAACAAGGAAAGTCAAATGAAATTTTAAAAATATTGTATTAATCCTAAAAACTGGTAAAGGGAAACAAAAAAAAAAGGACAGGTAGAAAACAAATAATAGATCATAGTCTTAAAACCTAATCATATCAGTAATCACATTAAATGAAATTGGTTTAAACAACCAAATGAAAAGACAGCAGTTGTTGAGATTGAATAAAAACAAAAAACCCAATTACATGCTGCTTATAAGAAGCATACTACAAATATAAAGCTGAAACAAAAGGTTAGGAGAAAATATATTGCTTGTACTTATCAATAGAAAGCTGGAGTGGTTATATTAATATCAGACAAAGCTTTTTTTAAGTTTTAGGTGGACACAGTATATCTTTATTTTACATTTATGTGGTGCTGAGGATCGAACCCAGTGCCTCGTGCATGCTAAGTGAGCACTCTACCACTGATCCACAACCCCAGCCTCTCCAACAATATTCTTAATCAGTGTGACCTAAATGACATTTATAAAACACTCCAACAGAACTCATTATTCTTAAGTGTTCATGGAATATTTACTAATATAGAACACATTTGGGAGCATAAAACAAGTCTCCATATATGAAGTATGATCTCTAATCTCTATTAGCTTAGGCTGCCATAACAAAATACTATAGAATGGATAGCTTAAACAGCAGAAATTTACTTTCTCAGAGTTTTGGTGGCTAGAAATCAGATCTGTCTTCCAAAGTGACTACATTAATTTATGTTACCACAAGCAGTGTATGAAGGTCCCAGTTGTATATCCTTGGCCATACCGGGTTATTATCTGACTTTATTTCAAATTCTTTGTTTCTTCCTTTTTTCTCCTTAACACATGCTATTAATTTCTCATAGATGTAATTTATTTTTCTTACATGTCATCTTTTTCCTCCTTTGAATGTACAAATTGTTTTGTTAAAAATTTAATAGTGCTATCCTATGTATAAGTACTAGAACAGTTTCAGATAATAGAAGAAATTCAGTCTTTGTTGTTGAATCCACACTGACAAGGTAGAGACAGAAAAAGAAGTGTTCTCATATGCTGCTGTGGAGTGTCCGTTGGGTGCACCCTTTCTGGAAGCATTTGTGTGATATGTTAAAAGTCTCAAAATGTGCTTGCCCTTTGACCTAACATTCTCTTTCCAGGTTTTTATCATAAGGAAATAATTAAGGATGTGAACAAAAACATTGCTAGGAGATTCACCCACTTGGGAATGCTTTTGTGTGCAGTCAGGAAAACTCTTGAGCTGACATTGGAAGGAATGAAGGTTATTTTTTTTTTTTAAGTGTGGCAACAAGAACTAGTTGCCACATTTAAAAGAAGAGATCTTTCTTTTCTTTTCTGATGCCTAAGCATTTTAAAATATTGTCTCTGCTGATTTTCTGACCTGCTACTTTGTAAATCAAAACTAAAACTTACCTATAAAAATTTTTTCCACAGGTCCCTTAATATGGACTTTGAAAATCAAGATAAGGAGAAAGACAATAACAGTTCTTCTGGGTCTTTCAATGGCAACAGCACCAATAATAGTAAGACATTTTATATCAGTTAATTTTCATCCATGTAATTACCTTGATTCTTTCTAAACCCTCAGTTAATCATTCACTGGTCAGGATTTGGTACTATAATAAAATCTAAACTCTGTGCTATAATCTGTTAAATTTTTATGTTCTCAGTCTGAACTACTGATTTCTTGCATACAAGAAACTCATTCCTTAAAGCTTGTTGCTGAGAGTCTTTGTTAAAAATAAGCAGGAGAGATTAGTGCAGGGTAGATTTTTTTGGCCAGGCATGGGTGGGGGGTACTAGGGATAGATCCAGGACCACTTTACCACTGAACTACATCCCATTTTTATTTTGAGAAATGGTGTTGCTAAATTGCTGAGGGTCTCACTAAGTTGCCCAGGCTGGCCTCCTGCCTCAGCCTCTCCAGTCAGTGGGATTACAAGGATGCACCACTACACGCAGCATATGACTATATTTAGATCCTTTGATGAGATTGACAATTTTGTGTTAATCATAAGTTCATTCAGTTACTCTTAAAACATGTCTGCCTTTAAAATACATTGCACTGTCATGTATACCTAAAAAAAACAAACAAAGATGTTTGCTTGAAGTACGTAATGAGCTGAAAAAAGTCACCAAATGCTTATTTTACAAATTAATCGATATTTTATAATATCCACAGTTTAAGGCAAACAAATACACAATGATTAAGATAAATAAGACAATAAGTATGTTATTTTTGAAGGCTTTATCATTTAACTCTTTTGTAACTTACAAAGTTACAAAAAGAAAATAAGTATGATTTTGTGTATCTCTCCTGATATTTAAGATCTTAAGAGAATATTTGCTTTTAAAAAAAAGTGGGCTGTATGACAAATGATAAGCAGCATATATTTATTTATTTATTTATTTGTGTGTTTGTCTGTCTCTCAATGGATCTTTATTTTATTTATTAATATGTGGTGCTGAGAATTGAACCCAGTGCCTCACACATGCCAGGCAAGCTCTTTACCACTGAGCCACTACTCCAGCCCAATTAGTGTTATTAGTAACCCCAAAATACAACAACCCAAAGGTCCATAAACCAATGAATTTATGAACAAAATATGATCTATCCATACAGTGTAATGTTATGTAGCATTTTTTTTAGAAAAGAGTGAGGTGCTAATACTTGCTACAGTGGAGATGAACTTCAAAATCTCTAGTCCCAGTGATTTGCCTGGGACTAGAGATAGGAAGGAGAAGTAACTGTAAACTGAGGGGTCTTATTGGGGTGATGAAAATATTCAAAAACTAGATTGTGGTGATGGGTTCGCTGTTGAAAAGTTTACCCCACCCCTCAAAAATCGAATTATACACTTAAATCGGGTGAATTTTATGGTATATAAATTATACCTTGAGCTAAGGCTATGGTTCAGCGTGCACTTGCCTTACATGGATGAGGCACTGGGTTCAGTTCTCAGCACCATGTATAAATAAATAAAGGTCTATCAACAACTAAAAAAATTTTTTTCAATAAATAAAATGAATTATACCTCAATAGATATAGAAAGGTATGATGTTTATTATGGAAAGAATTAAATTAGAAATAAGGAGACTTGGGGTTGGGGGTGGAGCTCCTTGGATAGACCACTTGCCCACCATGTGTGAGGTCCTGGGTTTGATCCCAAGGGAAGGAAACAGGGAGAGCACCTGATTTGATAATGACAGGTTTGTATTGAGTACTCAATATTCTATTAAATATTTTGAAAGATGCAAAAGTATAAGAGCAGCTCTTTTCAAAATGTTTTTTAAAGTGCTAAGAGGGCAAATACCACTTCACCTTCCATACCCGGGACAGGTGTTTTGTGGTTTTCTTTTTCATTGATCCTCAGAATTCTTCTGAACAAGCCACTTACTGGGTCAGAGTAAGCTCTAGAGGTGAAATCATTTCAACATCCATGTACGAAGAGTAAAGGGCCAAGTCAGGAGAGCAACACTGGCTCAGGTGAGGTCTCTTTCCAGGAGAAGGATGAGCTTGATTTGAAACAATGAACTTGGCTTGCTGGAGACAGGAGCATATAATTACAGGCACAGAGAAGAAAGTGAGCATGACAGGTTAAAGTCACCACCTAATGGGGAAGAAACACTGTAAGTCTACTAAAATTCAGATAGAATATAAATGGAAGACCATGGATGTTAAGTTGAAAAAGATCACTTAATATCCACATGAGTTTCTTTAGTTACTGTATTACCCTGTCAACAAATTATACTTGTTTAGTTTTAACTCGGTTGAACGTGTTTCATTGTCCCAAGCAGTATAGAGTGGGTGTGATAAAGACAGTCAGTAGAATTATTTAAATATAGCGAGTCTTTTCTTTTGACCCAAATCATTATATAACAATAACTTAACTTGGAACAAGGTTAAACCCATTGTGGAATCTAATTAAATTACTACCTAGTAGCATATCTTCTGTCAACATTTCAGGCCAAATCACTTTATGCTCATGAAACTATTCTTAAAAGACCTATGTTATATAGCGTATATGCAGATATGTAGTTAAGCCAGAGTATAGATCTGTTGTACATTGCATCATAGAAACCTGAGAGATAAGTGCAATTTTATTTTCAGCGTGCATTGGAAAGAAGTTACCTGGGTATCATTGCCTTTTTTTTTGCTTTTTTTTCTTTTTCTTTATTAATCAGAGTCTAAATAGAATAGGACACTTCTTTCTTAGTCATTTTCTTAGATCTTCCTTCTGTATTATACTAAATTATCCCTGATGACACAGATTTCCTCAGTACCTACTCCAAGCCACTTATACCTTCATAAGGGATAAGGACAGATTAGGATAAAAATGCCATCTACTTCCGCATAATCAGTAACATTATGAAAGAATTAGCCCTTGCAAAGAATGTCAATACTTGATTATGGAATATAACATTCCAGATTGAAGGGATAGCATGGAAAACTGGTCATATTTATCAAGAATCAAAGAAATAAGATATCAACCAGAAAATGAATAGAGAAACACAAGAGATTGCTAAGGAAATTGGAATCCAAAATGATTGACCACACAGAAGAATTGGTGGGAAGTTTCTAAAAAAAGGAAAGTGTGTTAGTGTTAAGATTTTTCTAAGAGTTGAGCATGGTGGCACATGCCTGTAATCTCAGCAACTCCAGAGGCTGAGGCAGCAGTGATTGCAAGTTCAAGGCCAGCCTCAGCAATTTTTTTTTTTTCCTGAGAGTATTTCAGACTTGTTGGAGGACAAAATGACCACATAGAGAGTTTTCTTTAAAACATTGCAGTTGCCCACTCAAGAGTGAAAAAAGCTTGAGAGTAGGGAAAAGTAGAAGTGTAGGACGGCATCATTGGTGGAGAGTCGAGGTTGAAGGTTTATGTGTAGGTCACATGCTATGGTTATATCAGAAATGATTCAATTGGCCTTGATTATAAAACAAGCTAGAAGAAGAAGTGTTAATGATGACTTGATGGATTAGATGGACCTTGTGATTCATATCAGAACTAACAAAATGGAGGTCATATTACTTCATATTGATCCCTGCAGAGTTCCCTAGAGTGCAGGACCAGACTGGGGAATTACTACTTCATGTTATAGTAATACGCCACCTGTCTAGGCAGCTCAACAGGGAAGTCAGGGAGAGAGGAGAACAAGGCACCACTCAGCTTCTTAAAAAACCCGAAATTACACCCATAATGAAATAGTGTTACACACAAACCAGAATATCTAAAATTAAACCCTGATCTCACCAAATGTTAGGATATAGAATGAGAACCCTCTTGAACTACTAATGAGAATATACATTGGCTCAATCTCTTTGAAAAAACATTTTGGCATTATCTACTAAAGGAAAAAATACAAGCATCCAGGGGTGCTTGGGGATTTAGCTCAATGGAAGAGCACTTGTCTAGCATGCATGAGGCCCCGGATTCAATCCCTAGCACCAAAAGCCCTTTGTCCTCCCTTTAAAAATTAAAAAATAAATAAATACACTTGGACATAGCAGTGTTGCTCCTAAATTTTTTGTTTGTTTGTTTTTGTAGTTACAGATGGACAGAATTCCTTGATTTTATTTGTTTATTTTTATGTGGTGCTAAGGATCAAACCCAGTGCCTCACACACGCTGCTAGGCAAGCACTCTACCACTGAGCTACAGCCCCAGCCCCATTTTTAATTATATACCTGCAAATATAAGCACATGTGCACCAAAACCATAACCAGAACACTCAAAAGCAGCACAGTTTATAGTAGGCCAAAAAATTAGAAACAACTCAAATGTTAAACATTTATGGATAAATTTTAACATTCATACAATGAAATTGAGCTGATACAACAGCATGGATGATTGTCAGAAATAATGTTGCATGAAATAAGCCAGACACAAAAATACATACTACAAATCTAGTATATATGAAGCTTAAAAAACAGGCAAAATAAACATGAGTATATTTAAGTGTTCCTGCTTGGGTGGAAAACAAAGCAAGAAGAGATTATCAAAAGTCAGTACAGCAGTTCCCTTTGGGGGAAAGAGAGAGGGTGGTGACAGGAGGGATACAACAAGGCGCCCAGGGTTGGTATTAGGTATGTGATGATCCACTCAGGTCCCTGGTTTTTTTTTTTTTTTACTTATCTGTGAGTGTTAAAATAAAAAAAGAAAGTTGCAGCAGGGAGGGACTTCCCTCCAGGTCCTTCCTGATTTCCACTGACTTGTTCTAACTCCTGCATCTGCCCCAAGAGGCCTGTATAGTTTTCCCCCCGGCATGTCATTCCTTCATTTAAGAAAAGGCCACGTACCCCACATTATGTGACATTTTAAAGTCCTTTACTTCACTTACATTTGAACTATGAAGATTGATGGAAATGTACAATTGAAATTCTCTTCATGAGTAGGCATACATCTATTTAATTTTTCCACTTAGACTGTAAATTCCATAAGATCTAGAAAGTTTTTTTTTTTATCCCTCCTGTTGCTTAATGTATAAGAAGTGTTTGGTAAAAGGTATAAAATTAGTAATTTAGTCCATTGGATACTAAAAATAATGTTGCCACATATAATTTTTTTAAAAATACTTTTTTAGTTGTCAGTGGACTTTTATTTTATTTATTTATATGTGGTGCTGAGAATCAAACCCAGAGCCTCACACATGCTAGGCAAGTGCTCTACCACTGAGCCACAACCCCAGCCCGCCATATATAATTTTTAATTCCATCACCACACCCACTTAAGTTGATTTTGGACTTTAAAAATAACATAGTTGGACTTTGGAAGTCTTCCCAGTGATGGCTGCTCTGTTTAACTTTGCTCAGTTTTGTTTGTTTTTAAGTCAATGGAGTGTGGCTAGAATTTTTGATTAATTCACTCCTTCCCTTTCGGTACCATTGTCTCCTGTCCTTTATGAAGTTCAGTATTGAAGTCATGTATATTATTTTAAGTGGCATATTGTCAGCAATTAAAGGAGCTTTATTTGCTTTGTAACATTGCCTCCTGGTTTAAATCTGTTTTCAGAAATGAAAATCTGCATTTTTTTAACATTCTAGAAAGGATCTTTGTATTTAGTTTTACATATTGATTATAGACTAAAATTTAGATTGTAAGCATACCTTATATACCGTAGTCACTATAATCTTTATATTCTACCAGGAAATTAATTTTTCTGTTCATATTTTGAACTAATATAGTTTATCTGTAGATTATAAGATGCTTTGTTTTACAAAAGAGAGGCAGATATGGGTATGTGTTTTAAAATGTATGGATTCTTATAAAACAGTTTGTTTCTTGTAGTAAATGATCTTTTGTGGAACATTATTTTCTGTTGTGAAAGGCATCTGAAAATCTGTAGTTTTCTCTAGTTCCTCTTTGAACTACTATTAAGAGCACCCCCATCCCAGCCCAAGTGTGGCACACAAGTCAAACTTGTGCTCAGGACAAACCATTTCCCAGATCAGTTCTGTTTGTCATGACACCTAGATCACTTTTCCTAAATTGAACTGCCTCATCCCTAAATGAATTGTTTGACTCATTTACCTAACTGCCAAGAAGCAATTTTGTTTTGAAGAAATATTTAATATTTTATTTCACAAAAATCCCTAAATAGCTTTTGGGGAACAGACAAGTTTAAATGCTTCAGAATAGTTTGTTTGTTTGTTTGTTTTTAATATTTATTTTTAGTTGTAGTTGGATACAATATCTTTAAGTAATTAATATATTTTTATGTGGTGCTGAGGATTGAACCTAGGGCCTCACTTGCTAGGCAAGTTTACTGCTGAGCCATAACCCCAGTCCCAGAATAGTTTTTAAACGTTGGTTCATCATTGCAACCTTTCATACCTAGTTATGTTCATCCCTGTTGCATATTTTATTTGTAGCCTTAATTTATTGAAGAGAAACTGCTATTTCTAATATTTCTATTGTAATAGTCATATGACTATTTCTTAGGTCCCTATCATACACTTTTCTTGATGACATCTCAGGACAGTTCATTTGGAAGTAGGCAGCGTATAAGACAAAACCCATAGTTTTTCCTCTTCGTTCAGTGATTATCATATTTTCCCGTGTTTTCCTTCTCTACCAAGTACTTTATTAGTGGTTCTTAAGCCTGGATAAAATTAAAGTTTTCTGGGGAGTGTTTTCAGCTGGGTGTAATCCCCAGAGGTTTCAGTTTAATTGGTCTGAGGTTGAACCTGGGCATTTTGATTTAAAAAAAAAAACACCTCTCCAAGTTATTTCAGGAAGCAGCCAAAATTTGAGAACCACTGTGCTAAATCCTGTTCTATCCCAAGACATTGTCCCCCATTAATCCCCATTCTAGTACCTTAAAGTGTTCTCAGAAAATAATTTTTCTGATTCACTGTTTACAGCTAAGTCTTGTTCATCATCCTCCCCACCAGAGTAAATATATTAAATCCACAGATTACTTTAGTCACTGGGTTAAAATCACCTCTTTTAACCAAACCTGTACGCAGGACCACAAATACACTCAAATGGACTAAACTGGATTTTTACTACCTCTTAATGGTACCTCCTTCTCCCCTTGGGGATTGAACCAGGAACTTCACCTGAGCTCTATCCCCAGGTATTTTCATTTTGAGACAGAGTCTTTCTTATTTGTAATCCACCTACCTCAGTCTCAGTAACAGGGATCACACATATATACCACTGTTCCCAGCACTGCCTGTTAATGTTCTTGATTCTGGGATTTTTGTTTGGTTTTGTTTTTGCATCCTGTTATTCACATGGTCGGCACCAGAAGGTAATGCTGTGTAATTCAACAAGTGTTTCCTGGGCATCCGTACAGGGAAGGTGCCGAGGAGAGCAGAGAGCTCCTAATCTCACTGGGGCCTCGGTAGTCCATAATGAGGTAGTTATCCCAAGAACCATACTTTAATGAGTTAATGTATATAATGCAAGGACATAGTGCGTGTTACACATAAAATGCAAGAGCCTAGTATAGTAAGTGGTTAACGTGTCCTATTTTCTGTCTTTCAGGTATCCAAACAATTGACTCTACCCAGGCTCTGTTTCTTCCAATTGGAGCATCCGTCTCTCTCCTAGTAATGTTCTTCTTCTTTGACTCAGTTCAAGTAGTTTTTACAATATGTACAGCAGGTAAATGAGTTTCTCTGTTCTTAGCACACTGAAAGGAAAAAAAAAAATTCACCTTTTTTAAGATAATTGTTCAAAAATTATGCAAGTTTTTCTTCATTATATTTCAGTTTTTTACACCCTTTAGACCTCCTTCATGAACCACCTGATATTCAGACCTGTCAACACAGTCTGAAAAAAATGCTAGGGATTTGAATATTCATGAGCTTTATGACACCAGAACAGTATTGGTTTGGTTACCAGAAGGTCCCGTTTGGTGTAGCGGTCATTGGCAGCCTTTACAAATGCTTCTGTAGATAAAAACATTGCTAGCTAATTAAAGTAATTAAAGGGTCAACTCTCTGATCTGTTTTCAAGCTAAGAGATAATGGAAATGCCAAAAAAAAAAAAAAAAAAAAAAAAATTAAAAAAATTTTAAAAACCAAACTTATTAGGAGGTCATCCCCCAAACCATTATTTATCTTTTCTTACTGAGTTAGGAGAGAATGAGAAAATCTTGTCATATTATCCCTAATTCAAACCAGGTATTTTTGTTTTAAGGAAGTTATTTGTTCAATAGTAAAGAAAGATTATTCTCTGGTCAATTAAATCATTTCCACTTGTTTTGGAAAATGACTGTTTCTAAAAATGCCATTTTTTAAATAATAGATTTCTTTTAAAAAAAAAATTAACCATACCCTTTCTTTCTCTAGTTCTTGCAACGATAGCTTTTGCTTTTCTTCTTCTCCCGATGTGCCAGTATTTAACAAGACCCTGTTCACCTCAGAACAAGTAAGGACTTGGAACTTTGCTCTTAGTTATAAATTTGTGTTTTTCTTTCATGCTTGGTAGCACTATTAAGAGTTTTAAATTTCTAGTGTTGACCAAAGCACAATAATACCAAGAGATTGAGAAGCCAGATGTTTGATCTTTTAAAACTAGAATATAGTACTTCCTTTTGTACCTTTTCATGGCAGAGAAAATAAAAACAAATCTTAGAAATTAGGAATCCTTGCAATTATGCCCCTGCTTAGATTTTGAAAGAGGAGCAGTTTTCTTTTGGTGAACACTTCCATTCCTTTACTGGTGACCTAACGGGTGTGAGCACAGTGGTTCAATTCAGATATTCTTTGCCTTTCTTTTGGGGTGCCCTTTGGCATAATGATAGCATTCACACCTCAGCTCCTAAAATCATTGCTTGTGGGAACTAAGTTTATGCTAATGGGGATGTGGTGTATTATGTATGCATGTGGAAATGTTCACTGGGAGCAGCTGATTTTCCCAGGATAACCAGATGATAACCAAATATATTTATTTTAGTGATCTATTTATTTTTAGTGATAACCAAATATATGTATCATCATACAGATATTTATTTGCCTTTATTAAATGAATTGAACTGTTGGCATTCTTCAGTTTGTTTTCCACTTAAGAACAGAATTTTCCCTCTTAGCTTCTCCAGAGTTCTTGTTTATTATAGTACTGAAGATTAAACCCAGATGTGCTCTACCACTGACTCCATCCCCAGTCAGTATTCATTTATATTTTGAGTTGCTGAGGTTGGCCTTGAACTCAAGATCTTTCTGCCTCAGCCTCTCAAGTCATTGAGTCATTGAAATTACAGGCATGTGCCACTATGCCTAGCTTGTCACAACTCTTAAACACCCATGTTGATAATTTGGTCTCAAAAGTACATTATTGCCGGGCACAGTGGTGCACACGCCTGTCATCCCAGCAGCTCAGGAGGCTGAGTCAGGAGGATCACAGGTTCAAAACCAGCCTCAGCAGTGGCGAGGCACTAAGCAAGTCAGTGAGACCCTGCCTCTAAATACAAAATAGGACTGGGGATGTGGCTCAGTGATTGAGTTCAGTCAATCCCAGTACCAAATAATAATAATATTATCAAATTGGAAAAGTACAGTTCCTCTGGAGTTTTCATAGTTCACCCTTGGGTCTTTTAGATTTCCAGGTATCGAGGTGTTGCCTACTATTCTCATCCAGCCATCCCGACTTCTGATCATGAAGCGCCAGGGTGCTGAATGCAGTGTGCCTGCCCCTCTAGTAAAATGCTGTGTGTTTTCCAGGATTTCCTTTGGTTGCTGCGGGCGTTTCACTGCTGCTGAGTTACTGTCCTTCTCTTTGTCTGTCATGCTTGTCCTCATCTGGGTTCTCACTGGCCACTGGCTTCTCATGGATGGTAAGTAACGAAATGTAAACAGACTGATTTTACTTAACATGATTTTGTGGATAACTTAAGTTTGTGCAGTTGCAGAACCATCATTGCAGTCAGTTGTGGAGCATTTTTATTCCTCACACCCTAAAACCTGTACTGAGCTGTCAGACTCCACCCCACTGTAGCCCCAGGCATCTTATGTTCTATCTGGATTTCTCTATTTTGGACATTTACATGGCCTTTTTTGTCTGACTTCTTCCACTTAGCAATATGTTTTCTAAGTTGTAAACATGTCATAACCTGTATGGGTGCTCTTTTTTTAATGACTGAATATTATTCCATTACCAAAGTTTTTTTAATTCATTCATCAGTTATTTCCCCTGTTTTGTGCTATTAATGAATAATGTGTGAATTATTTTATTATTGCTGTATCTTTAGATTGTTTTTTAATCTTTTTCTGTTATAAATAATCCTGAGGTAAAAATACTTGTTCTACCTCTTGGTATATTTCAGATCACTTAGATTCTCCCCTGCTTCCCCTGCTCTACTGGGTATTAAACTGAGGACCTCATACATGATCTGCCACTGAACTATATCCCCACCCCCAACCTAGCTAATTTTTTAAAGATGAATTCCTAGACGTGGAGTTCCTATAACATATGGGTTTTGAAAAGCTATAGCAGTTTATGCTCCTGTGCACAGCATATGAGAATTCCCCTTCATTGATGATGATGATGATGAAATAATGACAATAACAACTAAAATTCATCGAGTGCTTTTTATGCACTGGGTGCTCCACTGAATTACCTCATGTAATCCTTAATATAACTCTTGGAAGTTGGAACTGTTATGGTTCCCAGTTTGCAAATGAAGTAACTGTGTTCAGACAAGTGACTTAGACTCTAAGTTACAGAGCTTCTGTGTATATTTCTTACTTAACTACCAAACCACCTTGAAAATACCTTTCCAAAAATCTCTTACCCTTCTTCAAGTCATTCTGGAAACATTAGAAAACTTTAAGACCCTGCTGTCATTTTTCTCAGTTTACTTTCCTAATCTCAAGAAACTTCTAATGACTCTTGTCTGTCTCATAAAATCTGCTCACCTTTTCTTTTCCTTTGGTGGTTGAGAAGGGAAGCAGGTTAAATATAATCAGTTTTATACTTACTATTTAAAGAATTTTTAATGAAGGAATTTGAAAATCAGAAAACTACAGGTATGGATGGCATCTACTCCTGTTACCATTCCAAGCAATTGCGAGGTTAATCCAGCTGCCAAACCTGTACTCTGCCAGTTACCATGAGTTGTCATTCAGGGTCTCTAAGCACAGAACCACCCAAAGTGATACCTGCTGTCCAGGCCTCAAGTTCAGGAGTGACTAAGTTAAGCTGATAGGATCTTTCTGCTTTCCATGACGGACCTTACGTGTGCTGAGTAGAATATTGGGGGTTAGGTGTTTGTTTTTATATTTATGATTTGTTTAAAACACTTGCATCAACTATCAGAATTTATTCAAAACCAAGGATGTTCTGTTCATGATCAAATTTGGACAGAACCTGATAAAAGGGATTATAAATTTATTTTTTAGGCCCTAATTGGCCTACGCAGTAGATTTTTCACTGCATTTTCAATTGTTGCTGTAATTTCCCTCTATTTGTACAAGAACCTTTTTTTTTTAACCAGTTTACACTAAGCTGCTTTTGTGAATAGAATTTTTAGAAAGCCTTTGAGGTTTTTCTTTTTCAGATTAGTATTTGATACGTGTTTGTCTTGTTTTCTGCTACAAGAGTGTAGCTTTCTTGCCCTGATCTGTAACATCCTGAAATAGGTTGCTCTCAGCATGGAAATTAAATTTCCAAGGCTCCTCTGCAGAATCAGTTCATCTTGTGGACAAGTGAGATTTGGGAGTGAGGTTTTTTTAAATGAGCATTTTTAGTTAACAGCTATCCTTTGAAGTTAATGTGTGGTGGAAACAGGCTGATAGATGTTTTGCAGTGCTATAGGAAGTTTTCATACTAAAAGTGGACTTGAGTATTTTCTTAAACTGAAACCTAGAGCTGTTTCATCTACTCTTCATCTACTCTCAGTTTCATGTGGCAAATTAACCTTTTAAATTTGGGAAAGCTTGGAATTATTTGACCAGTCCATGGTGGTCTGTTGGCTAAAAGCTGATAGGTTGTCTGTTGAGGTGCTAGGAATCAAACCCAGGGCCTGGAATGCACCAGGCAAGCGCTGTACCACTGAACTACACCCCCAGCCCAAGCTGATGTTTTGTTTGTTTGTTTTGGTACTGGGGTTTGAAACCAGGGGCACTTAACCACTGAGCCACGTCCCCAACCTTTTTTGTATATTTTATTTAGAGACAGGGTCTCATTGAGTTGCTTAGGTCCTCACTAAGTTGCATAGACTGGCTTTGAACTCAAAATCCTCCTGCCTCAGCCTCTTGAGCTACTGGGATTACAGACGTGTAGCTGATGAATCTCGAGTACACACAACTTAGTGTTTCAAGGATCGTTGAACCAGGTTCACTGTGTGCATCCCTGATCAGTTTAGGGACTAACAGAGTCTTGATACATATCTAATCCAGCCCCTCATTTTAAAGCAGTTGCTACTACCCTATCACCAAGAAATGTTTAGTGCTAGGAATCAAAAAGTTGATATTTTTATTTATTTTAAAATGCTAGACTCTGGTGCTTAGTCTGCATAGGTATGGATATCTCAAGGTCCTCTAAGAACAGGGGCACTGCTTAAGACCCTACAGGTTGTATATTCCTTGTTGAGAACACTTGTAGCTCAGTTTAACATATTATTGTCTTTACCCCTGACCTTCCTCGTTGTGGAAGACAAGGTGATACAGAGATGTCAATAATTAATTTAAAATGACTACCTAAATAACTACGATTTATAATTTACTTCCCTAACACTTTTGGTTAATTTATACTTAGCTTTACAAATAAACTTAACTTTCAGCTATCAGGGAGTCTTGGGAATTTTCAGACAATATGGAGCTTCTTTATTATATCTGGAAAAGCCAGTGCTGCGGTTGTTGAAAAATTATAGATATATGTGTGCAGTGAACCTTGTCCCCTAGGAGCTTCTCTTGATGCTCAAGTTTAAGAACCTCTGCTGTGTGAAGAGACTATATAGGGCCAGGTAGAGGCAGAGAGACCAGGTGGTTACTGTAGCAGTCCAGGCTAGAGACAGTGTAGCTTGTACCAAGTGTTATAAGAGAGTATTCCAAAAATGAGCCACAGATTTTGGTCTGCACAACTAAGAGAATAAATATAGACACTCTACTCTGGTGGGAACCAATTTAGAGAAGAACTTGCGATCGATTAAATGTGAGAGGCCTGTTGGACATTCAAGGAAATATTTCACTTAGCCCTAGTCTGTATGAATCAGAAGTTGAACGTTGAGATACAGACTGGATATAAAAATGTGTGATAGACTGAGATTGGAGGAGATCATCAAGGAAGTGAAGCAGAGATAAGAGCAAAATTGAGAGGGCAGGTTCAGGGTCTAGGGAACTGAGGAAGAGCTACGGCAAAACCTAAAAAGGAGCAGCAGATACAGGAGAGGAACCAGGAGTGTGCACTTTCCTGAAAGCCACGTGAGAAGGGAGCTGGAAGCCATCGATGGTGTGTACAGATCAGCTGAGATGAGCACAAGGGTTCCTTGCTGCGCTTAACAACAGGAGGGTCCTTGGCAGCCCCAAGAAACTCTGAAGTAGCAGAGATGAAGCCTTTGAGGAACGGGTGAAAGAGGTGAATGTGATCTAGTCAGTCTTCAGGTAATAATGTCTGACTTTCAGAAAGCGAGTGGAAGAGAGGAAAAAAACCAACCACCACAATAAGGGAAAAACCAGGAAAGTAAGACATTCTGTAGGACAAAGGGGTTGTGGTTGTGGCTCAGCGGTAGAGCACTCGCCTAGCACATGGAAGGCCCTGGGTTCAATCCTCAGCACCACATAAAAATAATAAAGGCATCATGTTCAACTACAACTAAAAAAATATTTTTTAAAAACCCTGCTGATTGAAAAAGATTTAAAAGACAAAACAATCCTGGACTGGATACTGGCTTTGATAAACTGTATATGAGAGACACTCTGGAGTCTATTAGAGACATTTGATTGAGATGAAAATTCATTGAAATGGAAACTCACAATTGTTGGCTTTAAAGCAGATTTTAGCTGGATTTGGTGGCAGATGCTCGAAATTCCAGTAACTTGAGAGGCTGAGACAGGAGGATTGCAAGTTTTAAGGCAGCCTCAGCAACTTAGCAAGACCCTAAAAATATATAGAAGGCTAGAGAATATAACACCCCTGGACTAATCCCCAGTATAAAAAAAAAAAAAAAAAATTTTAGCCAGGAGCAGTGATGCACCTCTGTAGTCCCAGCTACTCAGGAGACTGAAGCAGGAGGATTGAAAGTTTGAAGCTGGCCTTGGCCACTACATCTTCTCTCAAAATAAAAAGGTCTGGGGGTGTAGCTATGTGATAGGCAGGGCACCCTGGGTTTAATCCACAGTACCAAAAAAAAAAAATGATTTTGTGATCTCGTATTTTAAAAATACACATGGCTTGCTCACCGTGTAATGCCCTCCATGTTACAACACAGCAAGATAGTCCTTGACAGATGACAGCACATTGTACTTTTCAGTCTCCCTACAGAGAAATAAAATTTATTTTCTGTATAAAAATACATGTGTAAAAAAAATCTGGGAAGATGTTTTACACCGTTCATCTCTGGAGAGTGGCAATGTAGGTTTTGAAACCTTAACGGTGTTCTCTAGTTTTCTATATTTCTATAATGTAGTTACTGCTTTTGTAGTAAGTATTAAGGAAAATAGAAGGAATTGGAGACAGCTCACACCCACAGCTCTTCAGAGGACCTTTTTGTTGAGGAGGGATCTTTATGTGAGTGTTAAAATACAATGCAAATGTGTAATATTTCTAATAAAAGAAAATCCTGTAAAGAGAGAGGAGTGACTGGCTGGAAGGACATCCTGAGTGGAGGAAAAGGGATGTGATCTAGGGCACAGTTGACTCTAGAGCAAGGACAGTGCAGCCACAGCAACAGGGGATGGCCAGGAATGAAAGCAAGGAGGTCTCAACTGAGCCTGACCTGCTGCTGTATGGTCCAGCACCATATCTAGCGGGAGACAGGATGCTTCTCGGGGCCCAGCAGATCCAAACCAGCAGAAGTGGACACTTCACAACAGTGTGGGTATAAGTGCCTAAAATTATAGTTCAGAGCCCCCAGACTTCGGAAGGAACCACAGACTGTTGGGTGGATAAGCCGAAGAGCTTGTGGGAAAAGTCACAAACCTGACTGCTCTCTCTTCTCCCCAGCTCTGGCCATGGGTCTCTGTGTCGCCATGATCGCCTTTGTTCGGCTGCCTAGCCTCAAGGTTTCCTGCCTGCTCCTCTCAGGGCTTCTCATCTATGATGTCTTTTGGGTAAGCATCTGTTTCCTGAAAGCCCCTGCTCTCTTCATGTGCAGTTGAAGCATTCACTGCTGAAAGCCGTCCACTCCAAGTACCCAGAGCCTGCTCCCGGGCCATTCCCTGCAGTCCTGCACTGCGCAGGTCACAGTGTGCTGACAGCTGGTTGAGCCTTCTCCCTGTAGAGCTGTGGTGCAGTAGCTCAGGGTGGAGGAGGCAGCCAGCAAACGAGCTTCCCTATGTGGGAGCAGCCAGTTCCACTGTTGGGGAGTCTCCGGGCACGAGAGACATTGGGAAACCTGGAGGCACTCTTGAAGAGCAAAGATTTTCTTCAAAGCATGCAGTCAAAGAAAGCATTGATGAGCTCTGCTCTAAGAACAGAAAGGATGATGCTGAAAGCGAGTTGCTTGCAGCCCCCTTCACTAAAGGCACCTCTCCACCCTGGCAGGTATTTTTCTCAGCCTACATCTTCAATAGCAACGTCATGGTGAAGGTGGCCACACAGCCGGCCGACAACCCCCTTGACGTTCTATCCCGGAAGCTCCACCTGGGGCCAAATGTTGGGCGTGATGTTCCTCGCCTGTCTCTGCCTGGAAAATTGGTCTTCCCAAGGTAGGACTGGCCTGTTGGGCCTCATCCCGTTTCCTGCCTTGGTTGTATGTCTTGTCTTCAGCATTCTGACCCTAAACTGGAAAGGGCTAGGAGGCTACCGTCTCTAAGTGAAAAGGTGAGGTTGAGAATACCGACTTGACTTTCCAAGATGCATCACCGAGTGATATGGGTGTTGTGTTTTATTTATTTTTTAGTCCTGGGAATTGAACCCAGGGACCCTTAACAACTGAGCCACATCCCCAGTCCTTTTTGAGACAGTTTCTGAAGCTAGCTTTGAACTTGGCGATCCTCCTGCCTCAGCCTCCCAAGTCACTGCAATTACAGGCATGTGCCACTGTGCCCAGCTTGTTCCCATTTTCTAAAGTTGGCTAAAATTAATAGAATCAGGATCATTTTTACTTTTAAGACACTCATATAAATGTTCCAATAGTAAAATTGAACATTTCCTGGAAATATAATCATGGCAAAATTAATGTGCTGCTTTTATCTCCTGTGTCTGGGAGTAGTCAGTCACTATTGACACTGCAAATAAGCATCTATCTCAAATCATGCTTTGCCCGACATTCCAGAGGAGGTAGTGCTTGGGCACATCACTTCAGCAGTCACTGACAAGCTGCTGTCCTGAAACACTGAGGGCCTGGATTGGAGACCTCTGCTGCCAGTTCCTAAGGGGCTTTTAATCTCTAAACCGTAAAACTAGTGTCCACCAGTAGAGATTGCTCTCTGCCCTCTGGATGAGTTCTTTGACTACTTAAAAGCTGACAGACTGGGGCTGGAGCTCAGTGGCAGAGCACTTGCCAAGCATGCGTGAGGCACTGGGTTCAATCCTCAGCACTGCATAGAAATAAACAAAATAAAGGCATTCTGTCCACCTACAACCACAAAAAAAAAAGACTTTATACAGTAGTAGAAATTGGATTGAGAGTGGCATTCCTAACATGTGACTCCACATTTCAGCTCCACGGGCAGTCACTTCTCTATGTTGGGCATTGGAGACATTGTGATGCCCGGTCTGCTGTTGTGCTTTGTCCTTCGCTATGACAACTATAAAAAACAAGCCAGCGGTGACTCCTGTGGTGCCTCTGGACCCGCCAACATCTCTGGGCGCATGCAGAAGGTCTCCTACTTCCACTGCACCCTCATTGGATACTTTGTAGGTAAGAGTGCTGGGAGCTGCTGCTCCTCTCGCTGGCTGGCCTCCAATCTTTGGGATCACGTCAGGTCTTCCAAGTGCTGACCTAGAGAGCAGGAACTCTGTTATCTGTTCAGATAACTAAAAAGGACCCGCCCAGCCTGTGAGATGATGCACACCATCTCTGCTGTGGGACCAGCTCCCCACTGAACAGCACAGCTGAGAGCCACAGACACAGCACACAAGATCACACCCTGGGCTCAGCATAAATCTTCCACAGAAGTTAGTGAATGGCAGAGATTTACCTTGATTTGGTCAATATTTCTGTCACCCCTGACCTCAGACTCTCCCCAGGCTCAGTGTTTCTCCAGCCAGCTCCCCTACAGACAGACAGACCGACTGACTGGGCTGTTCCATGCCCATGACCGTTACAGTAGAGTGGATAGGGAAGAGCACCTCTCCCAAGCCTCCCATCAGCACTGTGCTCACCTGCAGCACTGCGTGCACATGGGTTCACTTCCAGGCAGAAACCCTGACAGGGACAAGGCAAGTGGCATTACCCCCGTGAGGCAGTATAGGAGGCTCAGAGAGGGGGAATTCCTCCCCCAGGGTTACACGGCTCGTGTAAGTATAGCAAAGTTGGAACCTGAACCCAGGGCTCTGCCTTTAAGTCCAGCGTCACACACCACAGGAGGCAGAGGGAGAGCAGCCCCAGTCAGGGTGGAAGAGAGGGTTGAACCAGGCACCGAGCGAGGAGTGGGACTTGGGCCAGTCACATGTCCTTGGAGTTGCTCCACATTTAACTGCTGGAGCTGGGCATTTCATACCCTCTCTGTGGACTGGACTATGTCACATCCTGTTTCCCAGGTGACAGGGCCTCCCTTCTTTCAGGATCACTCACCAATGTCTTTCCTTCCAGGTCTGCTCACTGCTACTGTGGCGTCTCGCATCCACCGAGCTGCCCAGCCCGCCCTCCTTTACCTGGTGCCATTTACCTTATTGCCACTCCTCACCATGGCCTATTTAAAGGTGAGAGGAGGGCTGAGACTGTAGCTCAGTGTAGAGGGTCTCCCCAGCACGTGCCTGGGTTTTGATCCCCGGGACAGGGCATGAGGTGAGAGAAGTGGGTGTAAACCTGCAAAAGCAGTAACTTGGCACTGACCTTGGGTTTGTGCACATACTCTCCTCACTGGAGGGGGCTCTGCTTGAGCCCCTGATCTCGACTGTCATGTGCGCTGGCCTGGCATTGGTGAACTTCTCTGGATTCTTAGAGCCACTAGTAGAAAATGGGATTAATTAGACCATTATACCAGCTGGTCATGGATTAATTGACTGAAATTCCAAGAGCCCAACTAGAGGGACTTCCTACTTCTTAAAGCAGTACCTAGGGCTGGGAGTGTAGCCCAGTGAGGCTCTGGGTTTGATCCCCAGAACCAGAAGGAAAAGAAGAACAGTCCCCTAGTACTCTAACATCTTTTTAAAATCATCTTGCATCAAGGCTTGGGAAGAATTAAAAAGGATTTAATAGAATTGAAGCAGTATATGGTAAAAACTAAATTCAGAGAGCACATTACCTCATTTTCCAAATTTGAATCACCATCTCATTTTTATAGCTAGGAAACAGGCCAAGGTTCCTTAACCTGCCTATGGCCGTTACTATCAGGGCTAGAACCTGTATCGGTCTAGAGTTGGAACAGAGTTCTTAAAAAATCTTTCTTGCTCAAGGAGCCTGAGATCATCTCTTCTAGCAGGTTCTCCTTGAAATCAAGTTATGTTTGGTTTAATGCTCTTTGAGAGCCTGTTTGGAGGTTCGGGGGGTGGGGGGGAATGCAGCTACTTGGATGCCCTTGATGGAAGAACGGTCCTCCTTTATCAAGGAGGGTCGTCCTCTAGGACTGAATGTGCAGCTTCAGGAGGGACACACATGGAGCAGTGAGGAAGGAAGGGGACACCCGCCTAGCCATACAGATCAGCCAAATCAACCCTGGCAATCAGTAAGGTGACAGATGTCACAGCCAGATTGCCCTCACAGCTATTGACTGCTCTCTGGCCCCCACAGAAGCAGTTTAATCTGAGATTGAGAATCAGAAAGGACTTGTGGCTTTGTGTGCCTCTGTCTAAATCCAACTCAGATTGAATTTGTCCCTTCGTTCCCAGGGTGACCTACGGCGGATGTGGTCTGAGCCGTTCCACTCCAAGTCCAGCAGCTCCCGGTTCCTGGAAGTATGATGGATCCCACGGGAAGTGACCAGGATGTCCGGTGTCGTCCTTTTCTCTCACCGCGTGGTTTTGTTTCCTCTTCTTAGAGCTGGCCTGGTACTCAGAAGTCACCTGTTTAAGGAACAGGCATGTGACTGGAATCTGCACCTGAGGAAGCCGGTTGGCAGGGAAGGGTGCTGGCCCTGCTGGTCCTCCTGCAGTGGTAGGGTGGAGCCTTTCAGAGTGATAGGCCCTCCCTCCCATTTTTGGGGATCTGCACTGGACTGTTACGTGCGGGGAGATGGAGATTTGACTATTTAAAAACTGCAAACGGCAAGGAGTCGTTTTAGAACTTTTTGAACACTAAAAGGATTAAAAAAATTTAGCAAACCGAAGTTTCTTCAGTGAACCCTCCAGAACTTTGGGACCAGTTTCCTATGGGGGACTCAGTTTCAGAGAACTGAGACAGAAGCTCTTCTGTCATTATTTTCTTCTTTCCTTTTTTTGGATTTATTAAATATTTTCTGTGGTGTGAAGTGACTTATTAAATCCACAGACATTGAGTGACTTCTTACAACATACACATAAGGATTTGTTGTAATGAGTTCATGTCCACCCAGATGTCGTGTTGGCGGTGAACAAGGGCACGGTTTTTATACATACGTACATATATATATATATATATATACACATGCGCACATAGATATATACAAATAAACAAAATTAAAACCTGCTAAGATCATGCTGTGTAGCAGACAGGGGCTTGCTGTGATTTTGAGCATGTAGAGCAGTTTACTGTGGCTTCCTTGTATAAGCTGCCGTCTCCCCGTCACAACTGACCCTGCAGTTACCAACCAGGATAGCATTCGGACTGACAGACTGTGGGCTTTGGGGGACTCTTAACTTGGTTTGATCAGTGTAGCAAATTAGGGATGAAAAGTTAAAACAAAGTCCTTTTCTTTTTACAGGCTTCTCCCTGCAGGGTTTTTAGTAGTTTCTTCCTGAACCAGTGCATGTAATATAGCAGCAGGTGTCTTTGTGCTTTCTGATCATAGTAATGTACTACCTGTAAATACATTTTTCTATTTTGTATTTTTTTGTATTTTTTTCTTTTTTTGGCATTTTGTTTCATTGGTGTGCTGTATTTTCCATGCCCTCACTCCCTTAAGAAAAAAAAAAAAAAGGAAAAAAGCAACATAATCCTGTCCTTGCTGTTGTGATTATAGTCTTGACTTACCTGTGGTGACAACTGGGTGCTGGGAACAAATGTCAAATGCCGTCTGAGACGGACCCAAAATTCCTGGAACCAGAGAAAGAACAGGACGTCCTTGCCTTCAGGAGCCAGCCCTGCACGGGGTCTTCGCTCTGGTGGTACCTGGTGCGACACGTGCTTACCTTTACCTCGGTGGCCCTCGGCCTGGCATTGTCCTGAAAAGACCCGACGACAGAGGCTGGAGAAGGGCCCACACGCCCCAGTTCCTTCCGTAGAGTGTCCCCCCTGTGGCCTGCCTGTCCTCCCTGTGCACTGAACTGGCGTGCCGTCGTCTCCGTGGCATGCAGTTACTGGGTGGGACTCCCGTAGTCAGGGCGCTGGGTTCTTCTGTTGCCTTCAAATCCTGCTGAGGGGTTTGGGGTGTTTTGTTTTGTTTTGTTTTTAATAAACGACTCCTTTCTAGCCTTTGTCACATCATCTTCACTTTTGGTGGCTGGTACCAAGCAGATGCGTCCCATCACCTCCTACTGCTCCGCCTCTTCCAAAACGCCAGTGGGAAGACCCTGTCTTTCTCCAGAATTGCTCACCTGGGGCTCTGGTTCGGTCATAGCGATTGTCCACAGCACTCAAGTCACTCGTGGACATGAAGAATAGACAGACGTGCTGTGTGTTCATCAGCTGCGGCGTCCTGGGCCCTCGAGGATCCATGTGGCTCCACAGGGCGGGCAGCCCTCTAAGGATTCAGAGGCACCAGCCTATAAGGGGTAGAAATATCCTGGCCATCACTTTGACTTTTCAAACTTTGTTGTCATTTAAAAAATCAAATTCTAGACAGAAGGAATGTAACTTTTTGGCCATCCTCGCTTCTCTGCGGGTTTGGGGTAAGGGATACCTGCATGGCAGTCAGGACTGGCACTTGGATTCCACTTGCTAGTCTTCAAAGTCCTTAAGACTGTGGCAGAGGCCAGGCGCAGTGGCACACGCCTAGCTCCAGAGGCTGAGGCAGGAGGATCCTGAGTTCAAAGCCAGACTCAGCAACAGTGAGGCCCTGAGCAGCTCAGTGAGACCCTGTCTCTAAATACAGAATAGGGATGGGGATGTGGCTCCGCGGTCAAGTGCCCCCCAAGTTCAATCCCCAGCACCCTCAAAAAAGAATTCAGAGAAACTGCAAATACTTGTTCTAAATAATCATGGTAGACGATAGTTTCCTCTAGTTCTCAGTCTTGCCTTTTGATGGAGATGGCTGTGGGCTGTACGCGAAGCTGGTCCCTTAGCATTCTCTGCTGGTCCTCCGTCCTCCCTCTCCTGATCTGTCCTTGTTCTGTTCTTGGTGGTTTCTGAAATGCTGTGGGAATGAGGGGGGTCCGAGAAGTCCTCACGGCATGTCTGCGGTTCCCGCACAGACCCCGTCCCCTTCCTTCCACAAGAGTCCCGAGGTTCCCCTGGCCCCAAGGAAAGGGCCACATGGGAACGAACTCACAGTGATGACGGTTTTCCCATTTGAGCTGGTGAAGACGCGACACGGTTTGCCCACATTCCTGTTGTCACAGCACGTGCCTTTGCTGAGCACCCCTGTGGGAACACGGGAAGTGGGGCCCCCTGTCGGAGGACAGGGATGGGGGCGCTACCAGGAAGAGGTGAAGGACTGGCCCTCTGTAAGGCGGCGGGGGAGAAAGTCCTGTCTTGGCACTGAGGCACTCCTCCACAGCAGCTCTCGCCTCCGACCACCTCCTACAGCGCTGTGCAGGGACACTGCCATCTTATAAGCGCCCCCTTCCCGCCCCGCCCTCCCCGCAGCCTGGGGAGCAGTTCCGTGTGTGCGCATGCGTTTGCTCCTCAGGACGCCCTGGCAGCAGTCCTCCTTCCCCACAGACGCTCCTACTGGTGGTTGGGACAGCCTCATCACTGAGCCCATTCTGGCACTTTCCTAGCAGGGACAGCACTTCAGGAACAGTGGCTTCTCCCAGGAGTTGGCCTCATTGCAGCGAATCTCTGTGAGAGCGCTCAGTCCTCCGCCGTCTGCTGGACGGGATGCGCCAGGTAAGACTGATCGGGGGTCACTTCCACACCTGGCAATGTCCAGAGCCTCCTCTACTTGCAGCTCTCCACAGTTCCCACCCCACCTCCCGAGGGGAGCTGCGCACTCTCCTCGACTCATTTCAGCCACACTTTGTTTCTTCCTCATCTTCTCTTGGAAGCCCAAAGCCCTTTCCTGTCATTAGAGGACGTTCAGTCACGTGCAATGCCAGGGCCATGACAGGCCCTGGATGCTTGAGTGAACCAAGCTCCACACCCTGGTCCCCCCCTGCTTTCGTAGGTTATGCAGGGGCTGCTGTGGCTCACTTTGATCTGTGGGCAGAATGATCTGTGGGCAGCTGTCCCCATGCACGAAATCACACATTGGTACCACATTGAGCTCAGGAGTGGGTGCCACAGTTCTCTGCTGTGACCTGGGCCTTGTGTAACAGTGAAGCCTGGGCGGGACTCCCTCACTGCAGGACTGGCCAAGAGAAGGCTGAAAACAGGTGAGTGTGGGAGCCCGGGGCTCCTGATGGCACAGACCAGCGAGTGCCCAGTGTATAAATGGCCACAGGAAGAGCCAAGCCCTGTGTAGCACCCGGCGTGCTGGTCTTGAGTCATAACAGGGTTTGGAGGTCACCACTTAGCAACAGCTCCATCTAACCACCTGCAAGGAGCTCGTGGCCATTGTGACCATGCAGTGCTTACTAAGGGTCACATGGATGTGCCGTGGGGTCTCTGATGTTTGGGTGATTGCGAACTCAGGTGCCACTCAGGCCTCATCTGTGGTTCCTTTCGTTTGTGTTCTGGCTGTGAGTTTCCTCCCTGTCGAGTGGAACTTGTACAATCTGCCATTGGTTTGCAGGCAAGAGCGTCGCCGAGGGGCCTGAAATAGATCAGCCCAAGGGTTTGTGCAGCCCACGCTGAGACTCAGGAGAAGGTGACAGGAGCTGCTAGGGACTCTGCCAGTTCTCTGCCTCGCAAGTAAACGACCATCAGCTTCCAAATGAGAGATTTGCTCTGCCCACCTGAGTCTTGGGGCTGGCACGAGCCTCACCTTCCAGCTTTAGTAAATGAACCTCTGCCATTGGAGGCAGCGAGTCCTCACCCCCCACTGGTGCCTCGATGCACCTTGATTTCCCTCCTGGGTAGCCATCCCACGGCAGGGAGAGGACAGGAACCCAGTTTCAGAAAAGGAGGTTGAAGATTGGCCAGAACCTGGGGAGCAGCCCTGGCAAGGTGCTAGTGATAGAGCCTTCTGTGGGTGTCCCTGGCAGGTGGCCTCATGGTCAGCAGGCTGAACCAGGACTGAGGTGGCCGTGCCACGCCTGCCTGGAGTCCCAGACCCACATGCCTTGGCCCTGGCCTCTCCACAGCCCCTGCACCCTGCTGCCAGCTTCTCAGAGTCTGTCCTGGACACCCTGTGGTCCCCATGCCGCCCTCCCAGGACTCTGTTGCCAACAGGCCCTCCCTTGGCAGCCCAGACACGCGACCTGGGTGGTCCTGGAGAGATGGCGGTGGGCTGGGGCGACTGGAAACACCAACAGGACTTGCTGCTAAGTTGGAGGCAGAAGGTGGGAATTCAGGTGGCTCCACTGTTTTTGTTTGTTTGTTTGTTTTGGTTTGGTTTTTTACTTGAACAATTAGTTGTCAAAACTGAGATTAAGAAAAAAGTGGAGCTTAGAAGCATTCTGTTTTAGCCAGTAGAACAGATGAAACTTAAGAACTGCGAGTTGCAGGCATGGAAACGGCATCTGGAGCCCTAGGGAACCTGCAGGGTACCTCCAGTGACAGGCAGGAGGGACCACATGATGGAGGTGCCCATCAGCGCTCGCCCCTCGTCCAGCCCCCTGAGGCCCTGGGTTAGTGACAGAGCCCCCTGTGTGGTCGTTCCGTAATCTGAAGAGGGATGACGGTGCCTTAATTGAAGCATTCCTCAGCCCCTGCTCTGGTCCCGGGTCTCACACCCTCCACACACAGTTCGCAGTCCTCGGAGAGTCAGAGACAATTAAAGTGACCACATTCAAGCAGATCGATACGCTGATTCTTCAAGTGCCATGGCTCCCTGTAACGCTTCCATTCATGAAAGCTGGTTCCTCTCCGTGGCTGAGGGCTGAGGGCAGAGCTGGCTCGAGTCCTAATCCAGGTTTCCAATCGTGAATCCTGAACAGATCATATGCCTGGACCCGAGCCTGGGCTGGTGGAGGGCCAAGGCTTCCTGCCGCCACAGGACCTGACGGGAGAGGTAACGGGTGAGCCTGTCATGGAACCATGTCCTGGATGTCCAAGCAGCCCCCCTCTGCCACAGTCCCTCGGGGAACATTAGATGGTGGCCTTCACCCTGTCATGCTTAAGGAACAGGCTAGATGAGGCTGTGTGTGTTTTGCAACTAGCACAGAGAAGAATGCTCACAGCAGAGGCCTAACCTGCCTGGTACAGAGCTAGGGCTGCAAAAGGCCTCCAGCTGACTCCCGAAGTGACTCAAATGGGATGGGACCTGCCTCATGGACCCTTCGCATTTTGGCTGCAGACACCCAGGTATCATCCTGGAATCAGAGTGGCAAACAAACTAATGCTTTTAGTTTTCCATACTTTTAAAAATTTTCTTTCACAGTAAACGCTCTTTGGGGCTTCATCTACTTCAGCGGATCTTAAAACCCTGATGTTGTTTCTGAGGAAGAGAAAGAGCCGCCGGACTGTGGAGCTACCTCCCTGCCAGTCATTTGTGTTAGAATTCAGAACTTCCAAGAGGTTTGTTCTGTTCTGTTCTGTTGTTTGGTTAACACCTTGGAAGAGAAGACTCAATGAGCCGCACTCCAGGCCTGTGTTAAGATAAAAGCTGTGCCATCCCAGCCACTTGGCTCAAGCTGGTCCAGCCACAGAAGAGGAAAGGAGCAGACTTCGTGGAAGGCAAGGGTAAGTCAACAGAGCTCCTGGAGGGCCCTCCACCTCTGGGACAAAGGGAAGACGTCGGGCCAAGGGATCCTTCAATGAAGTAGATTAAAAACCGGCTGAAAGAGGGGGCTGGGGTGGTGGCTCAGTGGCTCACCTGGCATGTGTGAGGCACTGGGTTCGGTTCTCAGCACCACATATCAATAAATAAAGTTCTATCAACAACTAAAAAATAAAAATAATGAAATAAAGTTAAAAAGAAAAACTGGCTGAATGAACCTCTCCAAAACCTGATGTTAACCTGGACAGATGTCCCTGGGCTTTGTCCTCAGCCTGGCCCGTCCAACACTCAATAATTTAGCTGAAAACAACTGTGAGCACACAAGAAGAAGATCTGAAGAAAGGAGGGAGGACACAGCCATGATCCAGAGAAAGCTTTGGGGCTGGGCGCATGGCTCAGTGGTTCTGTCCCCAGCACCAAAGATATTTTTAAAGAGAAGCCGGCAGCCTAGGAGCTAGGACAGAATTACACCTGGAGAAATTTGGCAAAG